CAGTTACACATACCAGTTAAACAGAACCAATGTTTTATGGATTTGCCAATTCTAAACTGTTAAAAGCTAAAATATGATCTGTTCTGAAATTGAAATATTTGAACATTTCAAATGACTTAAATTTTAGGTATGTAGCTTGCTATAGTCACCAAGTACTTCATATTGCTACAATGCTAAATGTCTCTCAACTTTATTTTTTTTTTTAAGATGTGTTTGTTAACTTCTGTAAACGCTGTTCTGTGTCATCAGCACACTGGAGAGCTCTCAAACATAGCTTAAGGGTTTGAGGCTCCAGTGGTAAAACATTCCCCTGTACTGCAATCTACAAATAAAAATCCCTCATAACACCACAAACAACACTGTGCAATAGCAATAGTGTTCAAGGATAAAGGATAAACAAATGTTGATAAGGTGTGCATTAATGTTACCCTGGCCAGCATGTTATAGTCCACCTCCAATCAAGAAAGTTTCCCTGAGCAGCATGGTTGATTGTTAAGACTTTACTGCATAGCAAGTAAAAAACACCATTGCTTCTACATGTATATTAAGGTGCTTCCCCCTGCCTAACCCCCCCCCTCCCACCCGCCTGGGACCTCCATTATGAATGTCAGGATGGTAAGCAAACCTGTTTGCTGATCTCCTCTGTGGAGAATGAATGCAGAAGCACACAGCTCTGAGCACTTCCAGATTCAGAACTGTCAATATTTAGCCTTTGCGACCAGAATTGACCAGAGTTGAAACAGATTGTGCACAGTTAGTGGAAAGGTGAAATTAGGGGTTTAACAGACCCCTGATGGTTCCTTAAAGAGAACCTGTCACATGTACTATGTTGTCACATAGGATCAGCCCTCTTGTGACAGCAAATAAAGTAAACAAATAAAAAAATTAGGCTCATTAAAATAATAAGTATCACTGCCAATATCAGAGTGAGAGAAATAATTCTATAAAGGCCTTCAAAGCATCACCTATGGACAATTTTGGGTACGGTCATTTTTCTTGTTTTAATGTTTTAGGCTTGATCTGTATGGTGTTTATTCACATATTTAACATACAAAATGCAGCTGTCATCATTTTATTCTGCACAATCTCTGCTTTTCAAAAAATATATAGTGTTTAGGGGATTTTAAAGTAGAACTACACTGAATTTGAACACTACACAATAAAAACGTTATTTAAATCATTTGTAATATTCAAAACAAACCCCCCCATCCATCCATGTCTCCATGCTTTAGTTTGCTGAGAAATTACTTTGAAAACAAAACCCCCAGCATTTCTGGCTGTGGCCATCCTGAGTAAGGACAGATGATTCATGTAGTATTTACTTCCTGGAATCCATCTGCATTTAGCTCAGGTATACATAAAGAAGGGTGTGCTTAGCTGAGAAAACATAATTTGCCTAGGCATGGACACCATAGATTAACTGAAAAATTTTAGAATAAAACTTTAAACCATGTAACTTTGATATACTTTCCTATCCATTTACTACTCAAGTAGAATAAAAATAGTCAATGTTGATTGAAAGAGTGAAGTTCTGCTTTAAGTAATCTTTAGGCCTAAAAAGTGCACTTTAAGATGTGTACATAAAAATGAAAAAATGATTTCATCAGTGAAAAGGGCTGAAACAAAGGTGCACTTTTCAAATGAAAATCCCCTATGCTATGCCCAGTAAGGCATAGCATAGGCAAAACAAAAGGTTCATATTAAAGCTGACCCAGCTGCATATATACAGTATATATATATATATATAGCTATATATATATATATATATATATATATATATATATCTATATATATATATATATATATATATATATACACTATATTGCCAAAAGTTGGGACACCCCTCAAAATGATTGAATTCAGGTGTTCCAATCACCTCCATGGCCACAGGTGTATAAAATCAAGCACCTAGGCATGCAGACTGCTTCTACAAACATTTGTGAATGAATGGGTCGCTCTCAGGAGCTCAGTGAATTCAAGTGTGGTACTGTGATAGGTTACCACCTGTGTAATAAGTCCATCCATGAAATTTCCTTGTTACTAAATATTCTACAGTTAACTGTTAGTGGTATTATAACAAAGTGGAAGCAATTGGGAACAACAGTAACTCAGGTAGGCCACGTAAAATGACAGAGTGGGGTCAGCGCATGCTGAAGCACACAGTGCGCTGAAGTTGCCAATTGTCTGCAGGGTCAATAGATAAAGATCTCCAAACTTCGTGTGGCCTTGTAGAGAGCTTCATGGAATGGGTTTCCATGGCCAAACAGCTGCATCCAAGCCTTACATCACCAAGTGCAATGCAAAGTGTCGGATGCAGTGGTGTAAAGCATGCCGCCACTGGACCCTAGAGCAGTGGAAACGTGTTTTCTGGAGTGACACATCATGCTTCTCTGTCTGTCAATCTGATGGACATGTCTGGGTTTGGCGGTTGCCAGGAGAATGGTACTTGCCTGACTGCATTGTGCCAAGTGTAAAGTTTGATGGAGGGGGGATTATAGTGTGGAGTTGTTTTTCAGGGGTTGGGCTTGGCCCCTTAGTTCTAGTGAAGGAAACTCTAAAGGCGTCAGCATACCAAAACATTTTGGACAATTTCATGCTCCCAATTTTGTGGGAACAGTTGGGGGATGGCCTCTTCCTGTTCCAAAATGATTGTGCACCAGTGCACAAACCAAGGTCCATAAAGACATGGATTAGCGAGTTTGAGGTGGAGGAACCTGACTGGTCTGCACAGAGTCCTGACTTCAACCCGATAGAACACCTTTGGGATGAAGCAGAGCGGAAACTGTGATCCAGGCCTTCTTGTCCAACATCAGTGACTGAACTCACAAATGCACTTCTGGAAGAATGGTCAAACATTCCCATAGACACACTCCTAAACCTTGTGGACAGCCTTCCCAAAAGAGTTGAAGCTGTTATAGCTGCAAAAGGTAGGCCAACTCAATATTGAACCCTATGGACTAAGACTGGGATGCCATTAAAGTTCATGTGTGTGTAAAGGCAGGCGTCCCAATACTTTATTTATATATGTGTGTGTTATTGTGAAATCAGTATTTACACATCGCACTGCCCTTTACATACCTGATGAATAGTGGCCATACAACGTACAAGGAAACACCATAATTATATTAGAGCAGTGGACTCCAAACTGCACCCAGGTGCCAGCTGTGGCCCTTTGCTTGTTTTTATCCGGCCCTCGGGGTATTACTCCTCCCACTGTCAGCAACAGTGTGGCATAGTTCCTCCCACTGATGCTGATAATGACGCCCTATTCCTCTCACTGACACCAATGATGGGAAACTATTCCTCCCACTGACACCAATGATGAGGCACTATTCCTTCCATTGATACCATCGATGAAGCACTATTTCTCCCACTCACACCAATGATGGGGCACTATTCCTTCCACTGATATCAATGATGGGACACAATTCCTCCCACTGATACTAACAATGGGGCACTATGACTTCCATTGATACCAATGATGGCTCACTTCTTCCATTGATACCAATAATGGAGCACTATTCCTCCCATTGGTACTACTGATGGGGCACTTCTCCTCCCATTGATACCAATGATGGGGCATGATTACTCCCCCTAAAACCAATGTTGGGGCATTCCTTGAAGTTTGAAGGACAGTAAGCTGGCCCTTTGTTTAGAAAGTTTCAAGAGCCCTGTGTTAGAGGCTTTAGATTACAATGTTACGTTTGAGACTTGATGGAATAATCCTCCTTTGTGATCCCATTGCCATATCCTTGGATAAATTGGGCATACTTGAAAAGTTACAATTATGAAAAAAAGTAACTCTTCTTGTTACAAATATACTTTTCTGGCCTTGGAAAAAATTGACAAGGTGAGGATTGGCCTAAACAGTAAAACACAAAGGCAGCATAGTTTACCATCAAATTGATCTGTGATGTTGCCATGTGATGGAATTCTACAATGCAAAAATTTAATGTATCTATAACCATTCAAAAACTGAGACTGAGCTATATGGAGGGAGGGGTTGAGGGGGAGGGAGTGAGGAGGATGAGTCACTGCTTTGAGTACACTAATGTGTGTGTGTAAATTCCAGCTTGAGGTACTGAGCCCTACAAATAACAGGCTTTCAAAGCAGCAAGTCTAAAAAAACCAATACACTGTGGGGTCAAAATAAATAGCGAATATGTATATGTGTTTATCATTGGAAACCTGTTCAGAGGCAACAGATTGAGTCTGTGGCACGGGCCACAGCAGGTATATATGTGTATGCATGCTATGTTACACACAGCACAATGTATACTTTAGCTTTTTTAATTTTACTAATATTTAACAGTTACATTTAAAAACCAATCCAGCCATTTTTTGAAACAGTGGGAAAGTCCTGAATTTGTTTGTTTTTATTCCTATCTGTGCCAGACAGAAATAAAAATATTTGTACTAATGTACTTAAAAGCTGTTTTTGGTTGTGTCTTAGTTGGAGGGATTCCTCATCACTTCCTATCCTGACAGGAAGTGAAGGGAAATCTCTCCAACAAATACACAGATGGCTAAAAAAACAAATGACAGAAGCCCTAATACTGCCGTGCTCTATCCAAATAAACAATTTTGGGTAGAGTTGGGCATTAATGATATTAGTACACACTTCATGCAGTTTTTCTCCTACATGAGACAAGCATTTATAATTACCAGTGGTGTCCAGATAGACTCAAAGACTCCAAGTTCTCCTTCACATGGAAGTAGTAAATGTTACGCCCATGTGAGGGCTGTGGTTTGCCTTCATTGGATGCACAGGTAATCCCATTCATGTCATTTTTTTTACAACCTCTTTTTCTTTAAATTGGCTTTTCAGAATTACAAATACAAACATATAAAAGCTGGATGAATGGTTTACTGTTGTATTACATCACATGTCAGACCAGAAAGAAAGCCTATGAAAAAGGACAGTTGGGAACTGTGCCCACAGTGCACCCCACTCACATATTCATAATGAAGGAAATATGCCAGTAACTTAATACACTTACGATCCTAGCACTTCCATGAACACGAACGTGTCACGTATGTTATTTGTTTGCTTCTTCCAAATACAGCTATCTTCCACCTCTTCCTTGTGTCCCATTTTGTCAATAGTGGACACGGTAAATTCTATCAAAGAAGGAAAAAATTAAGCATTAATCAAGATTAATAACACAAAAGCACAAAAGTAAAATATTACAACCAAGCCCTGTGTTTTTTTTTCAAAACATATAAATAAGTACAAATATACAGTAGTAATGATTAACATAAAACAATCTAAATATGCATTTAACTAACTATAATGAACTAAAAATTTCAATGTGACAAACATTAAAGAGCTGTTACAAAGAGTCTATCAAAGTCAAGCCATATATAGCCTATTTCTTTTGTGAGGTTGCTTCTGACACTTGGATCATGTGTGGATTAGATACACAATTTAATGAGAGTTGAACATGAACTCTTGAGCCAAGTTTTCCCAAGAACAGAGAGAGAACCAAGTTTACCCACCAATGGTATTATTTTTCCTTCACATGATGCTTGAATTTTGCATTTTTCTGCAATCCAGAAATCATTTTGCTTGCCTAATCTTCAATCTCTTCTCTACTGTCATCTTCCCTGTTCCCCTAAAATATGCACTGGTTACCCCCTTATTAAATAGCCTTCACTGGATACCACTAGTTTGAACAACATAAAAACCTTCTATTTGTTTCCATTTACCTAGAAACCTCTTGAACACGTAGTCTACAACTGTCTCATATGAACCTTAAGGAAGAAAAAGGTAGTATCTACGTCCTGCCCTAAGTGCCGGACAAAGCCTTCCCAATTGTATAAAAATGTATTTGCATGCACTTAGCTATCTTGGTGCGAGCAATCACAAACAGTCTTTTCAATATTGAATAAAATATTGGACCATATATCAAACACAGTATTATTCCACATTGCTGTAAACTGTAAATATCGATCACAAACATGACCTAACAGTGATAAAGTAAAATGATCTATTAAAACAATCATTTAATCAATCTGTATTAGGATTTGTTCTGTCAATTTAGAATCTGTCAGAGCTGTGTTTTAGATAGGTAGTATTAACAATCTTGTATAACCATTTGGATTGAAAAAATTGTTTGGTATATTTAGTGCACCGCAATAGCCTACATAAATAAAAACCAGTGTCAGAGAAGCCACGAAGCAAATGATGACTCTCATGTAATTCTCAAGAGGGTCATGGCTTTAAAATTTCATTCCTTCTGTACTAAGTACTTACTCTACATAGTTTATAAATTTTTGTTTTTAATTTTTAAATTAAAATGTAACAGAATTATTATTAGCTATTTAAAAGAAAATTAACTTACCAACTGGGGAAAATGCAGCCAGCTTGGCACTTGGCATATTAGCTGCAATAAGAGCCAACCTAAAATAAATAAAAAAAGGTTATATATAAACTATACGTAAATGTTATATATTATATAAGTTCTGTACAATTTGTCCTATTATCATCAGTGCAGATTGCATGAATAACCTGTCTTCATCTCTGAAAGTACAATAAATATATCTAGACTTATGGTTTGGGACCAAACATCATGAGGCTTATTTACTAAATGAGTTGAGAACTGTTACACAATAAATTGTGTGAAAATGTATTTTAACTATAAAATCATGTCTGCACTTATTTCATCTGCCCATGATGAGATAACTAAAGTGAATATTTACAATTTATTTCGTGAAGATTATCAATAAATCAGTAAATCAGCCCAATTATAATTTCTTCTACTTTTACAGGGTGCAGCAACATAACTTCCTTTTTTCAAAATGCAATAAAACCCATTTTATTAATCAGAATTGTTTTTATTGTCTTTAATAATGTAGGTACATATCTAAAGTTCTCATATCAGGTAGGTGACGCCCCCCCATTGTCCATACACTGAATAAGTTTTTCATGACCCTTACCAGCATAGCAGCGGGTATGTTGGCAATTTCTGCACGGATGTTGGCCTTCAGGTCTTGTAAGGTCCTTGGACGGTTTACATAAACGCGGGATTTCAAAAAAACCCCACAAAAAAAAAAGTCGCAAGGGGCCAAATCGGGGGAGCAGGCTGGCCACTCCAAATCGCCCCTTATTGAGATGAGGCGCTCCGGGAAGTGTTCCCTTAAAACAGCCATTGATGCTCTTGAAGTGTGAGCCGTTGCTCCGTCCTGTTGGAACCAAATGTCCCCTAAGTCCAATTCATCAAGTCGTGGAAAAACAAATTCCTCCAACATGTTCACATACCGGTCTGAATTCACTTATTCAGTGTATCGACAATGGGGGGCGTCACCTACCTAATATGATTTTCAAAACTGTGTAAAACAGAACTTTAGATATGTACCTACATTATTAAAGACAATAAAAACAATTCTGATTCATAAAATGGGTTTTATTGCGTTTTGAAAAAAGGAAGTTATGTTGCTGCACCCTGTACTTATCACAGACAGTAAGATCTAGATTGGCTAATTAACATAAATTTCCAAAGTTGTATAATGCATGGGACAATCTCATAAATGCATCATTGCACTGTTTTAGGTATGTCTGTTATAAAATGAAGAGATGGCTTTCCATATTTTTGAGGATGAAGAAAAATGTTTGTTCACAATGACACGCAATTTTCATTCACACTTAAAAAGCCCCCTTACTTTATGAACTTGCAGTGCTGGATAATCTTTAGTGGTAAATTCTTGGGGCATAAACATGTAAAATTACACCAGAAGTCTCCCTTATTTTTCAGAAAGCTGCATTTTCTATTAGCAAGTCATTCATTATGATAGAATGCAATTGTGAACCTATGCACAGTGGTGCATTAAAAGTGCTAAAAGCAGTACAATAACCATGAATAATTTTTGTGCTTGAATTTTGTTTGATTGTATATACTATTGAGACATCCCTTCTGTTCTGTTGCACAAAAGCAATTTATTTTTGTTCCTATTTGGAAATTATGTCATGAAAACTATGTTGGGATTGTCCAAATGTTTCACAGTCATAGCTATAACCACGTGATAGAAAAATTAATTACATTTGATATATAGGCCAATGCATTTTGGGGGGTTCCAAGCAACCTCTTCATGAGGGTTATAAAATGCACATTCAAAAAATAATAAGTGATATTTTGTATATACATCAGATACTATCAACAGGTGAAACTACCAATACAAATGTTTTTGGTACTAAATGATATTTATTCTACAATGAAGTAGATACAGACTTCGTGTGTCTACTTGGTAAGTATCCATAATGGCAACAAATACACTGCTTATTTATAAAACAGACAATAGGGTGGATTTACTATAACTGGAGAGTAGAAAATCTGGACCAGCTCTGCATAGAAACTGCATAGAAACCAGCTTCCTGATTATTTGTCAAAGCTTAATTGAACAAGCTGAAGTTAGAAGCTGATTGTCTACCATGCATAGCTGCACCAGATTTTGCACTTCCCAGCCCTAGAAAGTTGTCCCTTTTAGTAGTTAGACAAAAATATTTGATACACATACATAAATTATACATATAGGGAATTATATAAGAATAGTTAATAGATAAAAAGCTTTCTCAGTATATAACGTGTACATATAACAAATTCAAGGTATGTGTAATAAATCCAAAGTTTTAAAGTGAATCATAAAGGTAAGAAATACTTCTACTTAATATCTTTAGAATTTACTTTTAAACTGTAATTTATACCTTGAATCGTTATTGAAAGCCTATTTAATAACCCTGATAAAGGGGGGCCCATGGAACCCCTGAAATTATTTTGTCTAGTTTATGAAATGCAATCACAAATGCAATTAATCTGCACACACTTTTCGATTGATGCTCTCTTCCTTATCCTTCTACCAAATTATTATAAGAACCTAGCTGAGACTTCAGTACAATAATGGCAACAATTCCCCCCAACCGCAACTCAAATAAAAAAAAGAGAACCACTGCTTCTCATTCTTATTATAGTTTATAAATCTATACATCAACAGAAAAGATCATTCACAACAATGGGAAACATTTGAAAAGTTCCTAAAAAAAAAGCAACAACTGCAACTTCAGTACATGATGCCAAGACTCCATTCTGTTAAAACTTTTTTTACAATACATAAGTGGTCTGTACACTAACAAATAATGTACTTAATACACCTGTACAATTGCTGCAGTTCTGGTTGTAAATGCCACGAAAAAAGACAACTACGTCACTTGCAGATTTCAGTCATGATTAACTGTTTTTCTAAAGATGTATTTAGAAGTCAACACTAGCATTGAGTAGTTATGAAGAACTCTTAAAACAATATTTCAGCCTAAAAAATTTGCTAAACATGTATTTTCAGAAGAAAAATTATTTCTAGTGTTTAATCATCTTTGTAACAGTTAACTAAAGCTGTACGGTTGAATGCTTGATTATATTATGGATTGGTTAAGCTTGAAAAGACTTGGGCTCCTCAACAATGTTTTTACAAATTTGTCATAGTGATCAAATTCTTAAGCTCTCCAATTTTATCATGTATATAATATTGAATATTCTGTCTTGAAATGGTTGCAAAGGTTGTGGTTGAATAAAATGATGATGCATATGTTTAACGCATGGTTATTTATAATTACCTTTCCCTGTTTGAAGTTTTAAACCATGCTGCCTTGTTTTTATAGGCAAAAAGTAAAATTTGTAGTAATGTGGCTTGCTTGTTTATGTTTTTTGATTCTGTTACTGAAAAACTGAATGAACAGATATTGTGAACAAAAGATTCCTTAACTTGAAACAATATTGGATGCGAGTGGAAGCATGTTATAGCGGAAAATAATGAAAAAGACGCATTCTTTTGCTGCCTTGCTTGCAGCTCCACCGGCTGAATAGGGTTGATTTACTAAAGGGTAGCGACTGTTTGGTTAGCAGATTGAATGTTCACTGTGCTTAGTGAATAATTTCCAAAAAAAAACAGTTTTCATTTGTTCCTTTGCACATACCCAGTCATTCAAACTTATTGGTTACTATCATTCATCTAGCAAAGCCAACATACTGTTTTCTTAATGAACAATCTAGATTTCATAGTAAATCAACCATAGTTATCAAAGGAGGTCACTTCACTGGCAGGGGATGTAACAGCGTATTCTCTTAAGGTTTCCTATTAAAACACTTGTGGAACAAGAAGATCAGCGATGTTAAAAGCACCCGCAGCAAAACCATGACTTTTTAAATTATTTTGCATTTGCCATGCCATGGATAAATATTCCTTTATCTACATATGTTCTATATTGCCTGTAAATGATATTGTACAATATTTCTATTTACTAATTAATACATAAAATTGGAATTTGATTTTACAGGCTAAGCCAGCTCCTCCTAATCAATTAGATTTTTTGGTGTGCTATGTACCAATATGCATTACTAAAGTTATCCTAAATGTATTTTTCAGTCATTGCTTAGTAATGGAGGTTGTTTACAGCCATCGGCAAGTAGTAGTGTTCTATACAAGTCTGATTTTCAAGCTAGTATGAATCATTATTTACTGCTGTAAGGTAATATGAATTCCTACCTGAAGTCCGGAGAGACAACCTGCTCCTGTGTGCCAGACTACCACCACAATAATGAACTAATCTTTCCTAAGATTTGCTAGAGGTGTAAAAGCAGGGAGTGTCTGATCAGATTATGTGAAGGAGCAGGGACTAGGCAAGCACATGTGATCTTAAAACATAAAGCTGCTCACTTTAAATCTCCTTAGGTGTCCATTGTACTGTGAGGGAAGGAGAAGGTCAGTACATCTGACCGTCTTTGGTATGAGCTGCAAATATCAGAATGACATGTTCCCACAGTCCTCTGTGACAGTAATGCTTTCCTTTCCTGAAATCTCTGCTATGTACAGGCTGTCAGAATGCATAATAGTAACCTTTGTTTGTATTCATTCATGAGTTATTCATGTTGTCATAAGCAATGTATCTCATTTTTATGAAATTTTTCTGAAGAATTTTACTACATAGACATTGCATTTAATTTGTTATATCTCATTTGTGACTAAAGCTGGTTAGTGTCCCACATGTCCATACACACACGAATATATTAGGTGTTTTATTTCCTTTAGTATGCATACGTTTATTTAAACCCAAGTGCACAATGAGGTTTGAACCTGTGAAATAAAATAAGAAGTATCAAGTGAATAAATAAACTAGGGGTTAATTTACTAAAACAGGAGCGTGCAAAATCTGGTGTAGCTCTACATAGAAACCAATCAGCTTCCAGGTTTTTTTGTCAAAGCGTAATTGAACACGCTAATGTTAGAAGATGATTGGCTACCATACACAGCTGCACCAGATTTTGCACTGTCCAGTTTTAGTAAATCAACCCCTCAATGTCAATTAACAGCTGTTACATAATATAGCATGTGTATCTCTACACTCTCCTTTACCTATC